CCCCTCGGGGCGCACGTGAGCCGGGGGGCGCTGGGGTGGGCGGGCTTCGCGCGCTCTCCTTCGAAGCCACGACTCCCGCTGCGCAAGCCCCACTGGAGAAGTAGGATGTCCCCGCGCGGTCAGAGCCACCTCGTGTCCCCCGGTGTCCCCAACTCATTCCGACGTTCTTCGGCTCCCTAGCCCCACCCTACGGCTTTGTTGGAGAGGTTGGGCCTGGACACGAGGTGACCTTGGTCCAGGACCGGACTCACCCGGTGGGGCTGGACCGCGCCCACCCCAGGCTCGCCACTCTGGGGACTGGGCAGGGGGACAAAGCCCCGGCGGGGCACGCGGGCCCCTCCCCTCTGGTCAGCGCGCCTCCCGACGGCGGGGGGGGCTTTTGCCGCGCCTGAACCCACGAGGCAGACGCTGCCCCTGTCCTGAGCGCTGCCAAGGTCACTCGGCCGGTGCGTGGGGGCTGCGGCCCAGTGGGCTGCCCTCCGAACGGCGTCGGCGGGGGCGGGGGCTTTGTCAGGACCAAGGACAGAGGCCAGTCCCCGGAGTGCGGAGCGGGCTCCCTGGAAGAGGTGGTGGAGGACACTGGTCCTGGAGGGAAGGGGCCGGGGAAAGGCTTCCTCTAGAGGCTGTTGCCATGGAAACCAGGCAGGAACAAAAAGCTAATTACAATGGGCTGGGGCAGCCACGTGGCTGACATGTAAATTGCAAGTTTGGCTCCGAGGTGGATGGAGGTGCCTCTGCTGGGAGGCGGTTGCAGAGGCGCCCTGCTCGCTGAAGGGGACAGCTGTGCCACCTAGGAGGGAGGCTGGGGGAGGGGAGGCCCAGGGACAGTGGCCTCATCCTGGCAGCCACGAGGGGCGGAGGCTCATCAATGTGGCCCCGGGGGCCAGGCCTGCCCGGAACATCTGCTCTGAGGCCCACCGGGCGCCTCTCGGATGGCTGGGGCAGGAGGCGTGGGCACCAGCCGTGGGCCGTCGGCAGAGCGGGGCGGTGGCCCCAGCGCCAGCGCCGAGGGCCACTCTGCAGCCACCCTGCTCTGCTCGTCAGTTCCGTGGCCTTGGGCTGTCCTGTTACTTTTTTGGGGGGAGTCATTTTCCTTAATTTATGTTTGCTTAAATTTTAATATCTGACCGTTTGAAAGAACGCAAACAGGTCGATCTTGGCGGGGCTACAGCTCCTCCGCGCCCACTGCCCCCTCTGCACCGATGTGCAGCAGTTTAGCCCACTGTCCCGGCCCAAAGTCCGTGTTCAGGCGTGTGTTCCGCCGCCAGGCCTAGGGTCCTGGTGCGGGCTGCAGCGGCGTGAGGAGTTCGAGTCCCGTCGTCACCAGCAGCAGCTGACTGGCAGGCCGGGCCGCTTTCTTGCTGGGTTCTGCACAAAGGCCCCCCCACTCGGTGAAGGGGGTTGGGGCGGATCCGCTCGGGGCGGGTCCGCGGGCGGGAGCGAACAACCTTCTGAGCGGGAACAGCAGAGCCCGAGTCGTCGGTCTCGGGCTGGGCTGCGAGCTGGGCCATGCGGGTGCTGTGTCCACCATCCCACGAGGATCTGGCGACATGGGGCGTCAGCTCCTGCACGTGGGAGGCCTGCGAAGCTTGGCGACCTTGAGGCCTCGCCCGGGTCTGTGTAGGTCCATGGGCTGGGCGGGCGGTCCGGGCTCTCCGCCATTCACGTTCCTGGGGTCTTTTGTCTGCGTCCTGCCCTGGCGGCCCTGGGCGCGGCCCGGGGGCGGGGCCGCCCCTGACCGCCAATCGGAGGCCACGGGCAGGGCCTCCTGGACCCCTCGCCAGCACAGGTGTCCGCCCGCAGCGGCTCCGAAGGGGGTCGGGGTCCTGGAGGGCCCGGACGTCCGAGTCTGCCGCCCCCCCCCCCGGGGAGCCGGGGCTCGGGTCCAGCGGGTGGCGGAGAACAGCGCCGGGCGGGCGGCGGGTCAGCACCACGGACAGCGCCCGCGGGGCCCGCCGCTTCCGCAGATCTCCGCAGCCTGGTCTGAGCGGGACGAGCCCCAGGGTCCACGCGTCACCTGGCAGTTTCCTGTCGTGACAACTGAGTTTGCAAAGCTGTGTCTTTCTTATGAATGTGCCACAATACGATATTTCACTAATAATAGAATGTTTACATTATGAATTTTATTACGTTTAACTACAAAGGCAATTATTAATATATTCTTATTAGGGACCAGCAGGTGGTGTGGAGGTTAAGGCACTGAATTTCCACATGGCTGACTCTGTGGTTCACGTCCCAGACCCAGCAGCTTGAAAATCACACCAGGGACATGTGTGTACCTGCCCAAAATCCCAGGAGGAAAATGGAGAACAAGGGATTGTGGCAGGCTGTTTCCCCTCAGGGGTGATTTCTCACCTACTCTCCCCCTCTTTCTGTCTCTCATGCCCTTTACAAAAAATAACAAAAAAATTACAATAGGGTGTGTGGGCTTGCCAGAGAAAAAGAGAAAGAGAGTGAGAACTCACCCCTAGGGAGAATGGCTACACTGTGACCCTTCCCCACCCTCTCATAACATACGTGCACCCCAAATATTTCTCAAGCCACTGGGTCTGGGACTTGAACTGCGCCGTCAGCCATGTGGGATCCGGCCATCTTGACCACTGTACCACCTGGCTGGTTCAATGGTTTTAGAATGTTAGACAGCATCTAAAGTTCTTCAACGAAAGGAAGCCGGCATTTGCTGAGTGACCGCCAGGCCTCTGCCACTGCTTGGTGTGGGTGTTTCCTCACCTGCCGGGGGAGCGCAGCCACTTGTTCACAAATGTGGCTGGTGCCAGGACCCGAAACCGTCCCGACCCGTGTCTGCAGGTAACACGTTTCTCTCTGCAGAGCTGGCACATGGATGGCGTGGGGACCGGCTCACTCTCCTGGCCACACGCTCACCCCTCCTCTGCAGAGGCTGGCGGCTAAACATGTCCCTGAAATCAGAGGTTTGGGGTGCCCAGGGCGTGGGAATCATGACCCCAGTCCAGATGGAACTTTTTTTTTTCATTTTATATTTGAAGAGAGATTTTTTTTTTTGAGAGATTTTCACTGTAGGGCGCGTGCGCTCGCCAGACAGACAGAGAGAGACATAGAGACAGAAAGCGAGAAATCACCCCCCGGGGGGATGGTCACGCCGCAATCCCTTCTCCTCCATTCTCCTCTCGGGATCTTGGGCACGCACGCACACGCGCCCGGCGTGAGTTTTAAGCCACCGGGTCC